TAACCCAGCACACACCAAAGCCAGGACAGTGCTTACAGGAACTTGGGCAAGGGTACAGTCACATGGAGGGGAAGAAAGAAGGAAAGGGACCCATATTTACTAAGGCAGGTCTGGGTTTGAAGATTATTCTGCCACTTACTAGCTCTTATAAATCACTGGACCCCTCTGAGCCTCAATTTCCCCATCTGCAAAATGGGCATGAGGGTATCAATTCTGTACAGAGGTTATAAGGACTCATTGAGATAAGACTTATGAAAGTGGCAAGCAAATATCTAGGCTCAACAAAAAGGAAGTCCCTTTCCTTTTATACCAAGTATCTAGGAGGCAGCCACTGTCTTATTCAGTCAGTCTTTATTTTATTCATTTCTAGGAGGATAAAATCAGCCACCTTTCAGTGGGTACTGTGAGGTTTCATTAAGACAACAGATAAAAATTGTGCTTAGCATAGTTACTGGACCAAAATAGGTACTCCATATGTGTTTTTTTGGATAGCTGCATGAATGGATAGATGGATGGATAGATGGATCGATGGATAGCTGGATGGATAGCTGGATGGATGGATGGATGGATGGATGGATGGATGGATGGATGGATGGATAGCTGGATGGATGGATGGTTGGATAGCTGGATGGATGGATGGATGGATGGATGGATGGATGGATGGTTGGATAGATGACTGGGTAGGTAGGAGAATGACTTGCTGGCAGGTTGTCAAGGGAAGCAAGATTTGTATTTTCAGCAAAACTAAGTCTGCACAAAAACCAGGTGTTTTACAAGAAGGTTTTGTTCTGTCTGTTTGTAGCCTTAGGTCTCAAGGGCAAATATAATATAGATGAGTAAAAACAAGCATAAATATGCCCAGTTCTCATCAACTGTGCCCTACACTTACCACTCTTGTGTCTGTGACTCATTTTGATGAGGTGAGAGACCATGTCTTGTTTCAATCAACATTCTCCAGCTGAGATCACTGGTGTAAGGCTGAGGTCAGGGCAGCACGAGGCCTTCTTGACACACAAGATGGCTTTGGAATCCTGATTGGTGGTGTTTCATCCAAAGAATTACAACTCAGGGGCGCCTGGGTGGCTCAGTCACTTAACTGTCTGCCTTGGGCTCAGGTCACGATCCCAGGGTCCTGGGATCGAGCCCCACCTCGGGCTCCTTGCTCAGCGGGGAGCCTGCTTCTCCCTCTCCCTCTGCTGCTCCCCCTGCTCATGCTCTCTCTAGCATGCTCTCTCTCTCTCAAATAAATAAAATCTTTAAAAAAAAAAAAGAACTACAACTCAGCTTTTCCCATAATCCAAGAAGGAAAAGACACAGGTGAGCAGCCAGCTCTATGTTCACTGCAGCTTTGTGCTGTGTAATTTCTGCAATCACTTAGCCCTTCTGAGTCCCACGTTTCCCTTCATGAGATGAAGGGATTGGACCCTCCTAGCTCCACAATGTTCTGATCTTCTGAAAATCCCTGACATTTCTTTTAAAATAGGGACATGGAACTTCGAAAGAATGTGTATTAAATTCCTTCCCCATCTATCTCTCAAGAGTCTCCTTAAACCCTTTCTTCTTTTTTTCTTCTTCTTAAGCAAGCAAGCGTTTAATAGTGGTCAAAGCAAAAGTATCCTTTCACGGTGGGAGAGCGCACCTTGGTGGGAGGGCTCAGGGGTGGCAACTGCCTCCTTAAACCCTGTCAAAGCAAGTGCATGTATATGTCAATATGTCTGTTGATCCTACCCCCAGGGGAAGCAATAAGCTTTGGAGACAGACAGATCTCAGCTCTAGACCTTGTGTGAGAAATTGTGGATACATAGGTGGTTAAGATTTAGGTACTGCCCCCAGGATCTGGTAGACAGACATTGAGGTGGATAAACCTCAATAACCATAGTAATTAAGACATAAAAACGGTGGCCCCTGGGGGCACCTGGGTGACTCAGATGGTTAAGCATCTGCCTTCGGCTCAGGTCATGATCCCAGGGTCCTGGGATCGAGTCCCGCATCGGGCTCCCTGCTAGGCGGGGAGCCTGCTTCTCCCTCTGCCTCTGCCTCTCTCTCTCTCTCTCTCTCTGACTCTCATGAATAAATAAATAAAACATTTAAAAACATATTAAAATAAAAAAAATTAAAAAACAAAAAACGGTGGCCCCTGGGGCACCTGGGTGGCTCAGTCCGTTAAGCGTTTAGACTTTTGGTTTTGGCTCAGGTCATGATCTCAGGGTCTTGGAACCAAGCCCCAAGTGGGGCTCTGTGCTCATCCTGGAGTCTGCTAGAGTTTCCCTCTGCCTCTGCCCGTCCCCCAGCCGATGCGCGCGTGTGTGTGCACACGCTCTCTCTCAAAATAAATAAAATATTTTTTAAAATAGTTACATTTTATGTTTACGTTCATCTTTTATGTGTGGCAGGTGCCACTGGTTTTCATTATAATTTAGTTATAAAGCATCCTTTTAAATAAAGTTTTATTTTTTTTCTTTTCAACTTTTTATTTAAATTCTAGTTAGTTAACATACAGTGCAATATTGGTTTCTGGAGTAGATTTCCATGATTCATCACTTACGTACAACAGTGGTGCTCATCATAACATGTGCCTCCCCTTAATATCCAATCACGAATCTAGCCCATCCCCCACCCCCCATCAACCCTGTTTGTTCTCTATCAGTAAGAGTCTTTTATGATTTGTTTCCCTCTTTCTTTTTCTTTTCCCTTCCCATATGTTCATCTGCTTTGTTTCTTATATTCCACATATGAGTGAAATTATATGGTATTTGTCTTTCTCTGACTTATTTCACTTAGCACAATACCCTCTAGCTCCATCCGCATCGTTGCAAATGGCAAGATTTTGTTCTTTTTGATGGCTGAGTAATATTCCATTGTGTATATATACACCACATCTTCTTTATCCATTCACCAGTCGATGGACATTTGGGTAAACAGATAAAAAGTGACTCAATTTAGAGCAAAATATTTATTAAGTAAACATACAGATGGCACATGGGTATTGAAAAATTGTGTATGGGGGGTACACAAATGACTGAAATGCAAGAAACACTGTGCTTTAGCATCTAAGCATTCATCTTATTCAGAGATGAGATGCAAGTCATAGAAAGTCACTCAAATAGGCTTAAGCAAAATAAGAGAATGCATCCTGACGAGGGAATCTCACAGGACCCAAAGGAAGGAATGCAGATGTTGGGCTTTGAGAGGGCCTGGCCCGGAGGAAGAGGGCAGCAGGCCCTGGAAGCACTTGCCCTCCTCTCTCCAGACTTCTGGTCTCCCTCTGGTCTCTGCTTTGCTCTGCACATTTCCATCTTCTCTCTGAGCAGGTCACCCACCTTCCCCTGCCCCACCTCATACACATAGAGGAGCACACACATGTAGACACACACACACACACACAGTCACAACTCCAGACTTGTATGTCTTCAGGTTAGTGACCTGCAGAGCCTGAAATAGCACCCCTGAATCTGGCTGCTTATTCCTGAGAGAGAGAACCAGACTGGCCCACCTAGAGCCAGATGCCTGCATCTCATCCGTTCAGCTCTTATCAGAGGATCAAGGGGAACACATTCTCAGAAAAAGGGAGAATCTGGGATGAGGAATCACCCTGACCAAGAGGTATCTGCCTCAGCATTCGCCGCTCCTAACAACCTTATGAGGTAGGAAATTCAGCTCACAGTCCCTTGGTAGGAAGTGACAAAGCTAAGACTTGAACCTGGGTCTGTGTGACACCAAAGCTCAAAGTCTGCTGCACTCTCCACCTAGTCACCATCAGCTGAGTTCAGCCCACAGCTACCATCCCAGACCCAAGCAGGTTACTGGCCCATGGGGAAGCATTTATCAAAATCAGCCCAGTAGATAGGAAACAAGGAAACAAACAGTACGGGGATTGTGGCTGGAAGGGAGGAAGATGTCTCAGAAGGACCACAGGGCTCCAGGGTAGTCTCCTCCAAGCCCCTGGGTCTGTGGCTGCCAGATTCACACTGCAGGTGCTCAGGGTGTGAGAGGAAGCTCATCTGAATATATTTGCCTAAAATCACAAGGAGGCATCTAGAGATCTTCAAGAGGTGACACCTCTTTTCTGCACCCAAAATTCAAAGTGCCTGCTGGCCCTTGGGATTATAACTGCTCCTCTCACCTTCTGGAAGCTAAATTAGGAGGGCTCCCCACCCGCCCCCCCACACCTCCCTGCCCCAGAAAGCTAGGTGGTAGATGAGACCTGACAGGCTCCTCCCACTCTGGAGGCCTCACCCACACACAGGTACTTCTCCACCCAAGTGCCCTTTCTCATGAAACCTCTGAGCGTCATGGTGCCGCGGATGCCCCCAATTTGGCTTTGAGGGGCCTCTACCCACCCACAGTGGGGAGCTGCCCCGCGGGAGGTAATTCACCAGGACCCACAGTTGAGACAGATGGATGTGGCAGTTGTGTCTCTCCCAGTCCCCCAGAGCTGACCCAAGGCCTATGCGGAGAGACACATTTGCCTCAGGAGACAACCTCCCCATCCTAGCCTTTGACCCGAGCATGTCTAATCCCCTCTGGCACCATTCAGGACAGGTTGTTGGATGAGTGGGAAAAGGTTCCACTGAGCCACGTCCCCTAAGAAGTGTCACAAAGATCTTGTGCCTCTAAATGGAGACAAGATGGCACGATCCTATCTCAAAAGTCTCCCCCAGAGACACCACCACACAACCAGGGGAGGATCTCTTTCCCAAAACCCTCTTCTCTGCCTTTATAGTAGCAAAGGTCGTTGTTGTCCAAAACTTCAGGCCATACTGGCTCAGGGCAGCTGCCTTGGTAGGGTAAACAGGGTGGCTCGGAGTCTACCCCCAAGGTCTGCCCTGGGCCCTGACATTCCCTGCAGAGCTATCAGACTCAGGTATTCCGGATGAGGTTGCCAGCCAAGGTTATTATGCGTGTGCCCCAAGGTGGCTGATGAAGCACATTCAAGTTCTGGATTTCCCAGCAGTCTGGCCTGGCCATCACCCCCACCTTGGTGAAGTAGCCTCCATACTTAAAGAGCCACTTGTGCCCAGGGAAGAGATGCCCAGACCACAGCAGAGACCCCTTCATCCCCCAGGTCAGTCTGTGATGTCCATGGAGGAGAAGCCTCTGGGCCTGGCCCCAACAATCAGGGACTACTTTTTGAGGGAATGGACAGGGAGGTGGTTGAGCGGCATGACCACTTCAGTGCCAGTCTCCGAGGTGGCCCGGGAGCATTTCTGGCTGCTGCGCATGCTATAGAACTTCTCAGTGAGGTGCTTGCGAAACTTCTTGGTGAGGAAACAGTAGATGATGGGGTCTAAAACACAATTGGTGCTAAGAAGGCAGAGAGTGACCTGATGGGTGTCGTTGATGGCCTGGTGGAAGCTGCTGTTCTGGAAGCCCAGCTCAGCCAGGGTCCAGGGCAGCTGCACGATGTGGTGGGGTACAAAGCATATGATGAACACAGCCAAGACCGTGCAGACCATCCACAGCGCGCGGCGCTTGACTTCTGCGTTGTGCTGCAGCTGCACCGGCTGCATGAGCAGCCTGCGGATGATGATCAGGTTGCAGAAGAAGATGATGAGAAATACAAGGAAGAAGCCGAACACAAGGAAGACGTGGATGATGAGGACAGGCACGCTGCCCTTCTCGTAATGCTCAAAGCAACGTGTGATGTTGCCTGAGCCGGTCTTGTTGGGCACCACGTTGGTGGAGTCCAGGATGAAGAAGTAGGATGCCGCAGCCACAATGGCCACCCAGATGATCAGGGACACGGAGAAACCACGCTTGCGGGTGGTGTCCTGAGCTGTCTTGATGGGCTGGGTCACTGCCTGGAAACGGTTGTAAGTGATGACAGCCAGGAAGGCCACTGAGCAGTAGGTGTTGATGAAGAAGAAGCAGCCAGCCAGGTTGCACAGGAATTCGGGGAGAATCCAGTTGCCCTGGTTGTGGTAGTAGACGATCCACAGGGGCAGAGTGACCAAGAAGAGCAGGTCAGCCACGGTGAGGTTCACCATGAAGATCTTTATCTCGTTGAGTTTCTTGGAAGGGTATAGGCAGGAAAAGACCCATAGCACATAGCTGTTGGCGATGATGCCCAGCACAAAGATGATGCTGTAAACAATCGGGAAGAGGATATATCGGAACTCAGAGTCCACACGAGAGGAATTATTTGCCCCTGTCGCCATGGTTGGCAGGGGCAGCTGGTGGTAGAATCCTGCCGCGCCTGGAAGACCACACAGGAATTCTGGTTAATGAAGGGTCAAAAAGGGCCTGTCTTATTAATCAATTCCAAGACTCTCATTTTGCACATTTTAAAAACTCTAAAATCAGCGGTATCTTCCAATTAATTGGCAGTATTTTTTTTCTACATAAAATAATGGTGTATTTTTAAAAAGAACAGCATCTGAGAGTCAATGAAATCAATGGCAATTCGGTTTCTTTTCTCTTCTTCCATTTTAAAACATACCTTTTCATTCTGTGGCTTATTTTGATGTAAGGTTTAAATAATCTATTTCTGATGAGAAAATATATGAAAATTCATATTATAAAATTTTTAATTTTCTAACAACTTTTAAATATTTTTCTATTGATGAAATTTGAAATGTAAATTTTGATGGTGGGTATTCTATATTAAAAAATAATTGGGCACCTGGGTGGCTCAGTTGTCAAGTGTCTGCCTTTGGCTCAGGTCATGATCCCAGGGTCCTGAGATCGAGCCCCGCATCGGGCTCTCTGCTCCACAGGGAGCCTGCTTCTCCCTCTCCCACTCCCCCTGCTTGTGTTCCCTCTCTCGCTGTCTCTCTGTCAAATAAATAAATAAACTCTTTTAAAAAAATAATCGTGGGTGATGCCTGGGTGGCTCAGTTGGTTAAGTGTCTGCCTTCAGCTCAGGTCATGATCCCAGGGTCCTGGGATTGAGTCTCACATCAAACTCCTTGCTTGGTGGGGAGTCTGCTTCTCCCTCAGCCCCTCCACCTGCTTGTGCACTCGCTCGCTCTCTAACAAATAAATAAATAAAATCTTAAAAAAATAAAAAATAATTTATGGGGGTGCCTGGCTGGCTTAGTAGGTAGAGCATGTGACTTTTGATCTCGGGGTCAGTGGGTTCAAGCCCCACATTGGGAGTAGACTTTACTTAAAATAATAATTATTATATTATATTATTATTAAAGTAAATTTATTATTATTTTTGTGCTCATACAAAATCTGGAAAATACAGAGAATCATATTAGGGTGACCCAAAGATGAAATACTAGCCAGTCATTAGAAAGAATGAGATATATCTGATTGTACTGATGTTGACAGTTGTCCCTGGATAATATTGTTAAGTAAAACAAAATTTTAAAAATCTGTGTGTCCCCATTATATATGTGTATATGACATCTAGAAAATGATCTAGAAGGATATAGCTTCAAGAGTAGACAGTGATAAGTAACCTTTGGGAAGGTGAGATGGATTTGTTGGGAGGTTTACCTATTTATGCTTCCTTTGCTTGAACTTTTTAGAAGCATTTATTGCTTTAGTAATTAAAAGAAAAAAATTAATGAAAAGAAAAATATAGGGGCACCTGCCTGGCTCAGTTAGTGGAGTATGCAATTCTTGATCTCGGGGTTGTAAGTTTGAGCCCCATGTTGGGTATAGTGATTACTTAAAAATAAAATCTTTTAAAAAAAGAAAAGAAAAAGATGAAGAAAAGTATACAGTGGAGAAACCCAGTAGACAACACTTTAATCAAATGATTAAGATGCACTCATCATTAGTAAGACATATAGCAATATCAGGTACCTTTGATTTGAAGCACTGAAAAGACTATAACATCATTTCTGTGGTTTTCTCTCCAGAACTGCATAATCTCAATTTAGTCATGAGAAAACATCAGACAGACCCAAATTGTGAGACATTATACAAAATGATCAAAAATGTCAAGGTCATGAGGAAAGACTGAGGAACTGCCATAGATCAGAGGATATTAAGGAAACGTATGACAACTAAATAAATGTGGGATTCTGGATTGTATCCAAGAACAAAAAAAGATCATTTAGTGGAAAAACTGGTGAAGTTCAAATAAGGTCTATAATTAAAATAATATATCAATGTTCATTTCCTGGTTTTGATCATTGTATTATGGTTTTGTAAATTGTTAACATTAGGGAATGTGGAGCAAAGGGCACACATGCACTCTTTGTACTATTTCGCAACTTTTTTGAAGGCCTAAAATTATTTCAAAACAAAAAGCCTTTCTTGGTTTTGGGATCGTACTATGGCTATGTCACCACTGGAGGGCTCAAGAAACTCTATGTTCTATTTTTACAACTTCTTGTGAGTCTACAATCATTTCCAAATAAACAGTTAAAAAAGCAAAAAAAAAAAAAAAAGTATATTAAAGGGGTGCCTGGGTGTCTCAGTTAAGCATCCGACTCGGTTTCAGCTCAGGTCATGATCTCAGGGTCATGAGATCAAGCTGCGTGTGGGGCTCAGTGCTGGGCATCTCTCTCTCTCCCTCTGCCCCTCCCCCGCTCATGTGCGTGTTCTCGTTCTCGCGCGCGCGCGCAAAAATTAATTAATTAATTTTAAAAAAAGAAAGATTTTCCTTCTCCCTTTGCCCCTCCCCACCACCACTCGCTCTTTCTCTCAAAAAAAAAAAAGTAAAAAAGAAAAAGAAAAGGTATATTAAAGAAGATGAAATTAACCCTAATCCCACTACCCACAGTCTGGTCCGTTTTCAACAGCATCTTCACCACCATCCACTCTCCACCAGAGCCAATTGCTCCCTCCTCTCTTGTTCCTCGAACTCTGTTGCCAGCACATGAGCCTGGAAGCCCCTCTGATGTTTGTGTTGCAGCTGGCGGCGGGGGGGTTGATGGGAGGGCAGGAGACCCAGATGGAGTTGATCAAGGCCCCAGACTCATCATACATCCCAGAACAGTGAAAAGAGAAGAGAATTGGGAGTAAGACGCTCCTTCGGAGCCAGGTGCTTCCCCGTGTACTACCTCATTTCAGTCTCACAAAAGCCCTCTGAGATAGGAAGTAAAACCCCATTTTACAGAATAGGAAACAATCTAAAGTGTATATGTGATGGTTCAAGGTCACACAGCTGTTAAAGGATGGAGCCAGAGTCTCAAATCCAGCTCTGGGTGCATTTGTTCATTCACACATTCCGCCAACAAATACTTCTAAGCACCAACTGCACGTCCAGCCCACAGGAGAGACAGGGCAGACGTGACTGCACAGGTCTGCACTCGGGGAACCGACAGGCTCGTGGGGCAGACGGACAAAAGCAGTGTAAACAAACAGAGTTGCTATACAAAGAAAAGGAGGTGCTGATGTGGAGAATACAGAAAGTTATACTTAGAAAAGAGGTGACATTTCCTTTGAGACCTGAGAGAGAGGAGTATTCCAGGCGGAGGGATCTGCACGGGGCCAAGACTGAGGCAGGAAGGAGCAGGGTAGGTTGTAGGAATCTGAGAAAAGGACCACCGATGGCCCTCACCCTGACCTCTAGTTGCCATTCCGTCCTCTCCTCCTGCTATCTTCCCACCAGGGTCTGGTCAAAACGGAGCTCCCCGTGGGTCTTCAAACCTGCTCAGACCTTTCCTGCCTCTGCCTGCAAGCGTAACACCCATGCCAAGGCTTCGAACCCTCCCCGCTAACCACACCCCACTTCCACCCAGCCATTCTAACTCGTGCTTCAGAACTTACCTGAATTTTACTTCTTCAGAGAGATCTTCACCAGGCCAGGTCAGGTCCTGTCTCAAAGCCCCCTGTACTTCTTTGTAAATCCTAAAGCAATTGTGATCATATTCGTGTTTGTATGATTCCTAACACTCTCCCGGTTGACTGAGCACCAGGAGAAGAAGGGCCTTGTCTGTCTATTCAACACTATTCCGAGCACCATGAACCAGTAAAGCAGTGGGTGATAAGCCTCGTCGATTACAACCATCTCTTTGGGAGCTCTGGAGCAGTGGAAACACTTGAAGAAGTCTTTAGATACTTACAGGTGAGTTTAAAGAACCAACTTGCTCTAAAACCAGAAAGAGACCCATAAATAAAGGGAACAAGCCATGGTTGCCAGAGGGGTGGGAGGTGGGGGGATGGGAAAAATAGGTGAAGGGGGGTGGGAGGTACAGTCTTCCAGTCATGGAATGAATATGGCACAGGGATCAAAGGCACAGCACAGGGAACAGAGTCGATGGGACTAGAATAGTGTTGTAGGGTGACAGCTGGGAGCTACACTTAACGGTGAGCACCGCGAAACACAGTTGGCAAATCACTATGTCGGACACGCAAAACTAATGAAACATTGTATATCAATTATACTTCAACTGAAAAAAAAAAACAACTGACTCTAACTGGAATTTTGATGATTGAGAAAATTTTTGTGCTTTGCCCCATTTAGTGTGGTGGTGGTTTGTCTACGCTAAATTAAATAAATATAGGTTTAATTATTCCAATAAATAATTGTGATTCCTTTATTTTTTTTTAAAGATTTTATTTATTTGACAGAGAGAGACACAGCGAGAGAGGGAACACAAGCAGGGGGAGTGGGGGAGGGAGAAGCAGGCTTCCCGCAGAGCAGGGAGCCCGATGCGGGGCTCGATCCCAGGACCCCGGGATCATGACCTGAGCCGAAGACAGACGCTTAACGACTGAGCCACCCAGGCATCCCCAGTTGTGATTCCTTTAAAACAAAAAACTCAGCCTCAAGTCACATTGTGAATTACATAGTTGATTTGAATTACATAGTTTTAGGTTGCTTCCCCAGAAGCGAAATTGCTAACTTTTACTCGGCTGGGATCTTTTCCACACCTAAACATGGTCCTGCCATCTGATCCCAAGACTCTAGGATAATATTTCTCAAAGGGTGGTCCACAGAAATGAGGGAGGAGAAAGGAATAGCTCTGAGAACTTTCAGTGGACCCCTAAGGTCAAAACTACTGGGGGCGCCTGGTGGCTCAGTCGTTAAGCATCTGCCTTCAGCTCAGGTCATGATCTCAGGGTCCTGGGATCGAGCTCCGTCCGCATTGGGCTCTCCACTCAGCGGGGAGTCTGCTTCTCCCTCTCCCTTTCCCCCCTTATGTTCTCTCTCACTCCTGCTCTCTGTCTGTCTCTCTCTCTCAAATAATTAAAAAAAAAATAAAACTATTGTCATAATTATACCAAGACATTATTTCCCCCTTTTCACTGTGTTGACATTTGCAC